AGAAGAAGCTCTCTCTCTCTCTCTCTCTCTCTCTCTCTCTCTCTCTCTCTCTCTCTCTCTCTCTCTCTCTCTCTCTCTCTCTCTCTCACCAACGACCGCGCGCCCACCAACTACCACGCGCACCCATCAACTACCACGCGCGCCAGCCAACTTCCATGCACACCCACCAACAGTTACTACCACGCGCCCATCAAGAACCGCACGCGCCTATCAACTACCGCGCGCCCATCAAAGACCGCACCCACAAAGAGGAGGTAAGAAGAAGAAGAAGAAGAAGAAGACTTACCGGTGGCACGCGGGCTGCGGGCAACGACGACGGGAGGCGCGGGCTGGGGGCGATGACGACTGGAGCGCTGGCTGGAGGCGATGGAGGCGAGATGATGCCGATGGGCTGGAGGTGACGAGGAGGGCGCACCGGCAGTTCGTGGGTGGACTGGGCGAACGTAGGGGAGGGAACTCCAATGAATTGCAGGTTCTGTGCTGGGCTGCACACTAAGTAGTTAGTTTTTACTAGCTTCAATTGAGTTTCGAGCTCTCCAGGGCTTGATCCCTGGACCTGTCCTTTACGGGGATCTTTTCCCTCTGTTGGCTGTAGATTTAGGCCACGATGCTTTTGGTTTGCTTCTTTTCCCTTTTTGCCAGTTTGCGGTCTAGATTCAGTCGTAGGCAGTAGGCTGTCAGGTTTTGCTGTAGGCTGTTGAGTCCTAGAGAGTCGAGGGGAACAAAAGTGTGAGGCATGAGGGAGTTGGGGTTCTGTTCTTTTTTTTTCTTTTTCTTTTTTCCCACTTCATTTGGAGGTCACGGAGGAAAGCTGCTCCAGGACTCGACGAACCCGTAAACGACAGGTCCCCAACAAATTGGGAAAATTAAAAAAGAAAAAAAAAGCTGCTCCAGTGCTGCAAGTTGGGCGTCCATAGCCGAGGGAGGAAAGCTGCTCCAGCGCTGAAGCAGCATTGTTTCCCTGGTCACGAAGCGGCGGCCATAGCCGAGGCTGCTTGGCTTGCTATCAGTAGGCGCTGGCCTCAAGGCCCTGAGCCCTGTTGGGCGTCTCCTTCTCGGTGTGTTGTTGGAGTTGACAAGGCTGTCGTCGAAGCCTCCATCAAAGTGCTCTTCGAAGTGGCAGCCATCTTCTTCTTCATCACATTGGTGTTCCTCTTCTTCGTCCTGGGAGCTATGCTCCCCTGTTGAGAGGACACTTCATCTGGAGTGGACATCGTGGATTGTTGCAGAGTGGTGTTGGGCTCAGGAGGGTCTGCGGCGATTTGTGGGCTGAGTAGGTTCACCAGCGCTGGTGATCGGAGCGGCGCCATAGCTAGAGCTTGACATCGAGGGAGGAAGAAGAAGTCTCCCATTCTTGATGAAACTCTGTTTTAATTGGTTCGTGGGTGTTGATAACGTGGTTGCGATCCTGGGAATTCGTGCTGCTGATTGGATTGGTGAGGGACGGCATAATCAGAAATTCAGAATTGAATTAAATTCAATTCTATTAATGGTTTTGAGTTCTTCCGCTGTGTATTCTCATCATCTGGTTTGGTGTGATTGCTCTCTCCAAGTCCACTCGTCATTGAGCATGTGTAGGGAAATGTGTGAATGCCACAGTGGATTCGTTTTCGATCAGGTACATAACAGAGCGGGCGGTGGGTTGGGGGCAGCAGGACTTGATCGGCGGTCCAGATAGGCCACCCTTTTGAAGCGTTTGGGGCAGGCCTGCCATACCTGGTTTCAATTTTTTAAGCGCCAGGTGACGTCTATGACCTTCGAAAGGGCCCCTGGCATCGAAAAAAATGCCGGTAACTCCCCCCAGCTGTGATGTGCTCAGGCCGACCAGGGGGGAACCGGGCCGGTTGACCGGCCGGTTCAACCGGTCCGGTTCTGGTTGGGGTGGCCCCCTCCCATCGGCCTGGAAATACAGCACTGGTTACAACAGCCTATCGCTATCTTAGATGCAGCGGCTACTCACACGGACATAAACAAAGCACTGAAACCCCACTGAGAGTAACGAGAGTTGAGCCAGACCCAACAGGTCATCAATAGCTGAGCCAAACAGTAAGAAGTTACTGAGAACTACAGAGGGCAGTAGGGTGGTGGGCACCTCGTGGGAAACCGTTCGGACCCACCAGACTGTGCGTATGGCGTCTGAGAACGATAATTCGGTGTTTTCAAAATTCAAACTAGCTCAGCAGTAATGCAACCAGTGATTATCAATTACCATTTGGGTTCTTCGGGAGACTTCACGAAGACAGACATGCCAACCATCTTCAACAAAATGCGTAATGTCCCCCCACAAAGGATTAAAAAACAGAGGTGAGAAACAACGACAACATGATCTGTTGTCCTTCGGGACATCCGTTAAAATTGGAACGATACAAAGAAGATTACCATGGCCCCTGCCCAAGCATAAATCGAGAAATTATCCAATTTTCTCTCCAAAAGTTGGTAAAAACAGAAAAAGGAAAAGAAACGCAACAGCAACAACAGCAACAACAACATGATCTGTTCTGTAGGACATCCCATCTTCTGTATCTATGAACACAAGATGACCCCCATCCAAAATGGAGACTGAGCAAAGGCCTCAGTAAAGGAATAACAAGGTGGGAGCATTATGGAATTTGAGAGGACGGNGGGGGGGGGAGGAGGGAGAGAGAAAGAGAGAGAACAAGAGTTGAGAAACATGTGAGCAAGCACACATCATAAGTTCACAGGGATCACTCATCATCACAGTATGGCCACCAAGTCGGACCAAAACGCACAGTAACGCTGTAACGAAGTGCAAAACCAGTGAGTGCAACGGGGCTTACCGAGTGGAAAACCGAAGATACGAATGCGCTGGATGCATATGCTATACATGTGCCAATGGTGTGGCAATGATAATTCATCATGCACGCCCTTGAAGAGAAGGCGGACATGATCACCAACGATGAGCCGTTCGGGCAAGTTGAATTGCTGAAGGACGGGCTCATTCTCAACAATCATATCTTCTGACTCAAAGAGGGCCTGATCTTCTCCAAAGCCAACCTGAACCTGTGTTCCACACAGCCACAGCATGCATGCCTGCCATCAAGCCTAGGAAGCCATGGACCAAAAACACCCAGAAAACCCGTCAATCATATGAACTTCAACAGAACAAATAATTGTACAGTCGCATCCTACGTAGGTAGCACCCCGTTCGCAATCACTTCTGCTTTCTCTTTGGCAGTGTAGTGAAGCAGCAGCCCCTGGCCAGTGAGCGACCTTGCATTGCTGACGTCATAGGCCATGTAGGGCCTCGCTCCACTAATCATCAAATGAACAAAATGAGAATGAATGTTTCCCTAGATCATGCAAAGATACATCACCATTGTTTTTGTCTTTTCAGCATGTGATGAGTAGTGGAGCGAGGCCCATAGCCTTATGGGGGCAGGTTCCCATTGATTTTGCTCGAGCCAGCTGACAACAGGGTGAAGGACCCTAGGTTAGGTTGATGGGGGCTTGAAGGAACATGACTGGGGCTCGCATCATTTTCACAAGGAACTGGCTGATGGCAGGCCTACCTCGTTTCAGGCCACGTGCTCCTCGCTCAGACAATCCACATTTTCTGGCGTTCACGTCACCTCCGTCCCATCCATGTCATAACTCTTCACTGCACTTGCTCGGGTCGAAATGTCTTCGCAGCCTGGCTTTGAGCCATGTGATGGAAGCAATATCATACGGAGCCCCTAGATATATATAGCATCGGATCACCGAGGGGCTGAGATCTTATCAACTGAAACAGATTGCAAGGTATGGTGCCAAGTATACCAACGCAGTTGGAAAATTGCACTGTCACAATTCATGCTAGGCCCCCCGGACCTCTAGCCCGCCTATGCTGCAGCTTGCTTTTTTGCAACCACCACCTTTGCTCACAACCTGCTTCACAAGACCCACCTTGCGTGCAACTCACATTGCAATGCCCACCCTTTGCTACAGCCCCCCCACTCCATTGCCTGCCCCGCGTTTACATCTCACCTTGACATCGGGTTTGAACCACCAGTGCCTCCACGCCTCTTTGTGCCAAGGCGCGGTGGGTCCCCCCTGCTAGCCAAAAAGAAAAGAACCACCACGAAGGCGTTTTCGTCGTTTCCGTTCGGTGGGCGCAGCCAGCCAATTTCGTCCTGTAGGCTGTAGCACTGTTCATCCAAACACCTTAGAATTTCACTCTGTCGATTCTGAAGTTTGCCCGGGCCAGGTACTGGTGGTTTAAACCTGCAGAAACAGGTTGGCCTCCACTGTACGGAACCGAAGAGTGGGCAACTGCTCGAGCATGTAGTGCTTTACACTGGTTCAAAGCATGGTAGCAAGTTTGACCTTTGGTATGCTGCTGGTACTGTTCTGGTCCTTCTGGAGCATCCGCCATATCAGTTCATTGTAACATTGAAGCCGGAGAGCATCCATCATCATATCAGTTCCTCGTACGGGACATCAAATATCTTCTTCCCACTGATATCAGTTCATGATCAAATCCCTTTTCTTTCCCTGCTTTTCCTTGTTCACACTCATCCTTTCCCTTCCATTCCTCAAAGGTTAATTCGACGAGCGGAAAAAGGGATTTGAACCCTCCTTTTACCTCTCAACGGTGCACGTATGGCACCTACTTCCCTCGAACGTTCTTGTATGCAACGACAAAGCCCCGACTACACACTCCTCTTCCCCGTCCCCACCCATGATCGCAGTGGACAGGTACAGCAGGGTGTCCGTCTGTACAGCAGGGAGTGTGTCTGTCCCTCGTTCCCTAATTGTCCTACCGTTATTTCGTTCGCCCTCTTCCCCCGCTGATCCAAATACATCTTTTGTCCCCGTCTATCTCCAGTCCACACCCCTTGTGCCAAACCGTGCCTCCTCTGCCCTTTGAACTCATTCCGCCTGTTTCCCCGCCCACTCTCCACAGCACTACCTTCTTCACCCGAATAGAACGCCCAGTAATTATCGCCGTACCTGGACTGAAAGTTGCAACCAAATGCAGCTATAATGACCGGGCGTTCTATTCCGGTGAAGAAGGTAGCTAATGCACTACTACTCTCTGACTCCCATCCTCCGACGATCCTTGCTCAGAAGTGCATTCAAATGACAATTTTGAATCATAGTATCGCAAAAGAACACAGGTGCAATGACTTGCTGATTTCTGCTGCCGAGATTGACTGCGAGGCTGTACACTAACCAGAAGGTTAGATTCGTAATTTTGTTTGGCTGAGGGCTAACCGAGAGACCTGTCTGTGAGGAAATTCGTGAGGGACAGATCTGCAAATCTGGGAAAATACACGCCCGGTACTAACCGAATTCCTACAGCTACCCTAACTGCCTATAGCAGGCCCGGGCTACCCCTAGGACAGACAGGCCCTAAGTGGCCTATACTGCTAGACGGTCCTATAGCCTATAGCCGGGTCCGGTAGAGGCCGCGAGGCCGAAACAGCAACGGTGCCGGTCGGTCAGTCAGTCCGGTCGAGGTCTAGGCTAGAGTAGTGAGTCTGTAGATAGGTTAGGCCCACCGATTCAGGGTTTTTTGGGGGAATTCATTTTCGCATGACCGCGTTGGTGGCCAACCAAGCGTTGCAGCGCTGAAAGTCTACAGCGGCACCTGAAACTTCAGCTACGTGAGGCAGCCATAGTCAGCCTTGGAGAGACGGCCATAGCTGGGGCCAGTCTCAGCGCATCTACCCTCTGGGGTATCTGCGTCAGGCAGGGCTATACTGAGGCTCTTCGTTGGGTACATGTGGGCGCTGCTGCTACGGTAGCAGCTAGGCAGCCATAGCTGCCTTCTTCTTCGTCAGAGTGACTCATCGGCACTGAGGACTACATCGCAGTTTATGATCTTCATCTTGGTGGATGGCGCTGGCCTCTGGGAGGCTGTTTCAGTGTAGCGCTGAACCCTGAGGGTGGAGTAGTGAGTGGAGGGTGTGGTTCTGGGGTGGCCAGATACTGGGGTGAACTCTGTAACGATAATTGGGGTTAATTGAGTTGAGTTGGCTCATCATCAGTGTTATATTCCGATTGTGATCTTCGCAGTGTCATCTTGTGATTGGTTGTTGGGAGTTTGTCAGAGAGAGGGAAACACTGTGTGTATTCTCCCCATCTGTGCATGGTTGCTATTCCGCTGCTTATCTCTGGTCTGTGTACAGTTTGGACTCTGTCTCTCCTCCCCTTTGTCTTGTGCATGTATGGGCATGTGTGAGATACCTTGTGCGTGAGTGGTGAGAAAATTGTCAGACAACCAAGTTCATAACACAGGGAAAAGAAGAAGAAGAAGAGGAAGAAAGGAGGAGGAAGAACAGCTCAGAGAGAAAATTGACAAAGAAAACAAACGACGACCCAATTTTCCTCCTTGTGCCATCCCACCCTCCAACTCTCCCCCGCCTTCATTAGTATGCTTCATACAAATACAAACAGTGCAACAAGCCCGTCAATTTCGAGAAGCTTCACAAGAACTGTCTCTCTTCCCAATGAATACACCAGAAGATGAACAAGGAGAAGGGACCCACATGATAAACGCCACCGTCTAGAAAGGGCCGCAAAGAGCCATAATGAGGGAGAGAGGTGACGTCTCCCTGACCTACCTACCCACCTGAACACGCTTTGGAGCATAACACCTTCTCAGAGGAGCTGGAAGAATCTCAACAGCAGTGACCAAACATATAGGCTGACTTAACCTAAACGTCAGAAATTCCCGCTTGTCTGGGCTCCTTGTTGCCTGATCACAGAGAAAATACCACACAAATGCATGCACATACACATCCATTCAGTTTCACATACACACATGCAAACACATCCCCGCATGCACACACGAATTTAACACACACACACACACACACACACACACACACACACACACACACACCCTCATGCACCCACGAAATTCACACACGCGTGCACACACACACACACACACACACACACACATGCATTCACTTTCACACACACA